GAAACATCGATCATCCTCAGAGTTGGCCAGCCCTGGGGTTTCTGTTAAATTCTGTTAGCTCCTCCAGCCTCTCAGGGATGAGATCAGTACTCGAGGGAGATGGATCATTGTTGATGTTCTGAAGGGGAAATCTCGGGGCAGTGTGGGTAAAGGAAAACTGGTCCCATCTGACCAGCTTTACTACTGCTGATTGCACAGGACCCTAGTGCTGTAGTCTCAGGACTTAAATTCCTCTAGTCCCTCCTATCTCCTCCCCTCCCTTCACCCAGGGTCTCAGTCTCCATCTTCATGGAAAAATGCCCATTTTAGATATTGAATAGAATCCTGGTTGTGCCACTGTCTGGATGATTTTGATGAGCTCATGACCTCTCTGACACCCAGTCAGTGTTCCTTAACTGGACTGTGGATATAATATCCACAAATTACATCATGGATTTGTTGGGAGAATTAAACTATGAGTGGTAAAGGAGGTGAAAACATCTGGTTCCCAGATAGAACTCGTGGTATTTTTCTACTTGTGTACACGGGCAGACAAAACAATAGAAAGAAGTACAATAGATGTGTTAATACACCTACATGCCTGTAATGTATTTTTTAGTGTCTGACTTGCTTTCTAAACATTTTTTCATAAGCATTTTCCAATCTCATTAAAAACACCTGCTCTACATTGCTTTTGATAGTTGCATAATATTCTAACATATGGTTGTACTGTAAGTACACCTAAACATTTCCACATTGTGGACCAAGCTGTTTATTTTTAGTTTTTTATCAAGTAGAGTTTTGAGGTCAGCCCAGCCTGATTTTGCCTTAAAAAATATTTTATTTTTTTTTACTCATTTGCAAAACACATGGTTTTCATTACTTTTGCTTTGCTTTGTTTTGTTTTCTGCTTGGGATACTTATAATTTATTTTTTCGTTGCTGTCAAGCTGTGGGTTTCTTTTTTCTTTATTAATTATGCTTGGTACAGCATATATTGTTTTGTCTTGCAATCTTAGATCATTTTTTTTCATTTCAGGAATGTTCTACTATAGATTTGATTGGTGTTTCAGGGTCATTACTTTTTAAAAGACTTTTTAAGGAACACATCTTTTTTCTTTTTGTGAATTGGATCACTTTTCTCTGTTCTTCATACATACCATCTGTTGCCTCATTATTTTCAACTATAGATTCTGAAAGATATATTTCAAATTTACTATTTCTCTGAAACTCAGTTTTTTGCAGTATAAATTCTGCTCTTTATTACTTCTAATGTAAACTGTGATTCTAAGAGTGCATTTACAGTTTCTTGGCCTGCTTGGGTATCTCAGCCAGACTTTCCTTCATCTTAGCCTGCAGTTTACTTTTGCATTTTGTCTTATTTTTCATCTCCTTTCCCTCTCTAGAAGCCATGCCTTCTTGCAATTTATTGAGAACAAAATATATGGACTTTCTAAGATTTTCTTCAATTTTTTAAAGTAAACAAATTTAAAGGCATGCCTTTTCTCCATATCTTTGGGAAACACTTATGCTAGAGCAATACCTGAAAAACTATGGTCCATGGGCCAAATCTGGTGCATTCCCTGTTTTTATAAATAAAGTTTTATGGGAACACAGCAGTATATATATATATAGTCTGTGGCTGCTTGCTTTCACCCTACAGTATAATTACAACAGAGACTGTGTGGCCTCCACAATCTAAAATATTATTATCTGGCTATTTATGGAAAAAGTTTGCCAACCCCTGTACTAGTCTCCACTGTTAAATCATTGTTAAAGGTAGAACATTATTTCTAAATCCATTGTTTGACCCTGGAGGGCTATCCATCACACTGTCTCTGTAGGTGTTGATAAAGATGTCCTTTCAGATTTAAGTTAGAGCAGGGAGCTTACCATCAGGGTACCTGTGGGAAACAGATAACACACTCATACTGGGTAATTGATAAAAGATTCATTAAGGGACTATTTCCAAAGGTGTGGGAAGAGTTCAGGGACTCCAAAAATTAGTGATGCAGAATCCCAAGTCTAGTAGCTTACTACCCTAGGTCTGAAGGATTAAGGGGAGGCGGGGAGGGGTACCAGAACCCAGATAGAATAGCTGAGTGGAGAGTTGCCTGACAAGAGTTGTGGCTTTTAATAGAGAGATGTATCTATATCACAATGACTAGTATCGGGGAAGCCAGAGTAACAAATGTCCTCATCTCACTTCTGCCCTAGAGTGTCATGCTGGTGCCTCTTAATGGCTGAAGTCAACCAGAAACCAGAGGATAAAGGATTCACTTACTGCATCCCACACAGATCTGCTTTCTGGGGGTGAAGCTCACAGTGAGTAAGTGAAAGACATCAGCTCATGGAGTTTATGTTTATAGGCTCTCAATCAGAGCTATCCAATGGAACTTTCTATGATGATGGAAATATCTGTGTTGTCTAATAGGCTAGCCACTAGCCATATGTGGCTGCTGAATGCTGGAAATGTGGCTATGAACTTAGAAACCGAATCTTTAATTTTATTTAATTTTAATTAATTTTAATTTAAATAGCCACATAGAACTAGTGCCTATCCTATTGGACAGCACAGCTCTGGGTGGATTTCTATTTTCTAGTGTGCATTGACTGCAGTGTACTTTGTTGGACTGTCCTGGGATCTTTTGTTCCCCAGTTCTATGATTAGGAAACAGATAATTCATTTCTGAACATTCTGAGATAATCTCTCTCTCTCTCTCCTTTTCTAGAAATAATATCTGAAAACTCACAACCTCTAAGGAACATAACTTCCAGGCTTCCTTTTATGACTTTGTCTGCCTAACATCCCACCTTGGACCTCTTCCCCTTCCCTCCACTGTGTGGTCATAGAATAGTCTCTCAGCAGAAGTGGAGAACCATTCCTGGTGGTTTCAGGGAGGATGATTTTATAAAACTCTTTGAGCATAGTATAGGATGTCTGTTTTTTTAATCAGCAAAGTTCTGGGGTCTCTTCCTATGAACTAGGGTTTAACAGTACCTGCCAACCTTGATATTCTTCTTCAGAAGCCAAGATGTGCTATGAAGAATGATTTAATTTTATCAGTTCCCTGCCATGAATAGAGTTAGTAAAACTTTTGCTCAGTATTAGAGACGTGGCAGAAATTAACACAACATTGTAAATCAACTATATTTCAATTAGAAAAAAAGAATTGGAGACTTGGTTGATTATGATTCTTAGCTCTGAGAGTGTTCATGTGTATTTTAGTGAAAAGCTGGGAGAGGTCCTCTCAGGGATGGCTGTGTGGATTCTATTAACCTCAGAGCCTCCCCTCACCATTTTTTCATTATGATTGTCACAGTTGCTGCTGAAAACAAAACAGATCATGATTTTGAATGTGCATAATCTCAGGTCTGATGTAAAATTAATACCAATTGCTTGGTTTTCACACAGAGACATTAATTACTATTTGTTTTGTATTTGCATTCGCAGGTATCTGTGGAGGGAAATTTGCATACCTTGTTGTTAGACCATTATTAAAATGACAGTTGGGAAAATATTTGAAAAATATTGTCTTTCCTTGTGTTTTCCTTTCTAGCATTGCTGTTATTATTTTTTATTTTCTCGGTAACTTAACGTTGGTGGCACGATTTTGAAATTCCAGATCGGCAATGGAAACCTTTCTGGGACATTGGTACTTAAAACAAATCCAGTGTTGGAACTGGGGCTTCCTAATGGCTTTGCATTTGTGTGCAAACAAGCTGAACCAGTCCTGCCGTTTAAAGTTGGTGAATCAGAGGCACCTGGGAAATAATCTTTTGTTGTTTAAATCTTTGGAGAGGCACATAGAACGCTTTTAGCTGGGTGCTTCCTGCAGTTGGGTCTGTCTGAATTTGGGTTGAGAAGAACAAGCAAAGGAAAATTATGGTCTTTTCATCATCATCTTGGCACAGAATCCTGAAATTGGACTTAGACCACTAGGATTCACGTGACCTGGTGATGCCCCTGAGTAGCTGAAGAATCGTGGACAAGTCATTTTATCTTCTTACCTGTGAAAATGGTGCTCACCCCTGTCATGGCAAAGCTCAAATGAGATGAGGCAAATTGTCAGCTTTGGAGAACCATGTACATTTGACAGGTGACTGCGACTACAATTGCCAGTTCTGTTAACCTTATTCAGTCTTTTCCTAAGGGGGTGAGATGTGGCCATACTCTCATGGGTGCGCATCTTCCTACTGTCAGGCCACTCATGGTCACAGCCCTCAGGTCCGCACTGGATGGGTGGGCTCTGCTAAGGGCGCATCCTTGCTCCTGTGTGGGTTGCCTGTGACCATGAGCTGCTCAGTGAAGGAAGACAGTCTTTCCAGGAAAAAGAGAGTTTTTACCTATTTTCATCGTACTAGTAAAAATTAATTCATTAGTTCTATACATTTGTCAGACATCTACTCCGCCAGGTAGAGGGTGTTCCTGGTTTCTATCCTTTGGGACTTACAGTCTAGGGCAGCTCAGGATGTGTGTATTTCCTCCAAAGCTGGGAGAATATGCAGATTGATTACTTGACTGATTGATCCAGTGATTGATCATTTGTTGAGCCTTTTGTGATGTGCTAGGCACCAGAGATGTGAAAGTGAACAGGATACGATCTCTATCCTGAGAGTGACCCAACACTTCAGATGCTTTGTGGGGTGAATCATGCATTCAGAGTTTGGGATGCCCTCTCGCCTCCCAAGGGATTCTGATCAGGCATCTAGATTTTGAATCTGCATTTTGAACAAGCCCCTTGATGGGGGAGAACAATCTGGAAACACGGCTCTGGAGAATCCATATGTGGTCGGGGACTTTCTGTCTCTCTCTCTCTGTCTCTCTTTCTCTCTCACAGACACACAGACACACACCCCAAAATCAGTATGGGAGACGAGAAAATGTTTCTCAGAGTTGAAGGTCAGCTGCTGAGGAGAAGCATGCTCCCTGGCTGTACCTGGCTTCCCAGGCCCCTCCCACATTTGGTCAAGCTGTCCCTGTCCTCAGCCACGCGTGACATTAGATCACAAACCTGAAGTTCCAAAAAGAAAAATAAAGTCCACTTCTCCATTATAAATATGCACATTTTTATATGAAAAAAATATAGGTAAATATTATTATGCATTATACCGTAGCTTTGACCCCCTTATCAGTAAATCTTTTTGGAAAGAAAACCGCTTTGAATTGCTGTATGATTTCAGGCTCTTTTGGCATACCACCAGTTGTGCAAGTGATATATTATTTTTGGATGTAATTTTACCAATGGCTATTTAGTGACCCTTACTCTGTGACAAGTACCATGCAAAGCACATTCCATGTGCTACCTTATTTAATCTTTGCAGTCAATTCATAAAGCGAGGATTATTATTTTTCCCATTTTGTAGTTGATGTAACTGGGGCTCGGAGAGATGGGTGTCTCGTCCAAAGTAACACATTCAGTGACGGTACTTCTAATTTTCCACTTTTATAAATGGCACTGAAAAGCCCATCTTTGGACCTAAACCTTTGGCCATGGGCTTGATTATTATCTTATAATCGATTCCCGAAAGGGGGATACTCAGGGGATTCTGTGCCACATCTGGACAGACCCTGTACCCTGAACTTTTCTCCTCGCTTGGTTTCCTTCGTTGTCCTGGGAGCCTAGGGTTTTCAATGCTCCACATGTGCTGTGCTTTTGCTTTTTTGTCACGATCTTCCTGCCCCAGGTAGAAGGACGCGAGCTGGGGCTCCTGAGACTCCCTTTCGCAGCCACCGATGTCTCCTGATGTCTATTTGGGCAGTGACATGTAAAGGCCAATAAGATCAGGTCAGGGTGATGCCGTGACAAGGTGTCAGTACCTGGAATGTGACAGGCACCTGGGCAAGCTTTCTCCATGACCCCTGGGTGGTGACTGACAAATAGCATCTGTCACCAGAACAGTCATGCTGAAAGCAGAAGGAAATGTTAAAGGCAGCTCTGAGAAAGCCCCCCAGGCCTCCTGCTACTGTGAGCCCCTGGGACACTGTCAGTGGGGAGACCTCACTGCCAGGTGGAGGCAGCAAAAGGGGGTAGCCTTTCAGAGTAAGCACGGAGTTAAGGCCTGGCGTTCCTCCCTCCTGAGGCTGTGGCCTCCCTAGGACAGGCTGAGGAGATTGTAGGTTGTGAGGGTCTCCAATTTTTGGAGGTCCCATCCTACATCATCAAACACATTTAAAAGGCACTGGCATCTCAATTAAGGATGCAGGTTGACCTGCATTCCTTTGTTACCATCTACATTATTTTGTAGGCATTTAATGAATGATTACTTATTTTTGTTTTACATCTTCTCATGATCTGTTGGAGCCGTATTTTTTAAAGTCCTAATATTTTTTGGAGGCCCTTGAATAAACCCATAAGCCTGAATCTATAACACCTTCTGGGTAATCCCCCCAGACCCCACCTGCCATCTCGTGAACTTTCAAGAAAGGGATCTGCCAGCTTCTTTGTGACCCAAGTTCAAACCCTTCCTCTGGGGCCTTATCTGCTCGGTCTCCAGACTCACCTGGTATCTCCTTCCTCAGTACTTTGATAGCACCCAGATTCCAATGGCACATAGGGGCAATTTTGATTCAGTTTTTATCACGTCTGCCTCTTCTCCTGGAACATGAGCTGGGACTCTCGTGTCCAGATCCCCAAAGGCTTAGCAATGGTGCCGAGTGGTGCCTAGCAGGACCTCAACAAATACCCACTAGCTGCATGGAAGAAAGGGTGAGTGGCTGGAGCTCCTAGGGATGTCTTTAGCTCTGAAGCTCTCGAAATGTGCTCCCTGGACCAGTGAATCAGCATTTGCTAGCAACTTGAGAGAAGTACAAATTCTTGGGTTCCTACCCCAGACCTCCTGAGTTGGAAACTCTGGACTTGCATCACCTCCAGGCGAAATCCATGCCCTGAAGATAAACATCTAGACTTGGGCTTCTCAGATTATAATGTGCACATGAATCACTTAAGGATCTATTAAAATACAGACTCTGATTCAGTGGGTTTGAGGTGGGACCTGAGTTTCTTTGTTTCTAACAAGTTCTTTGATAAAACTGTTGCTGGTCCCTGGACCACACTTTGAGTAGCAAGGCTCTGGTCTACCCCAGTTCAAGGTCCAGCTGATTCATGGCCAGGCAGGAAGAAGGAAAGCGACACTTGGTCAGTGATGGCAGGTCTCTGAGCTTCACTTTCCTCATATATCACATAGGGATAAAGAGGCTTACTTCGTGAGCTTATTATCATGGATAAAAGAAATAATATATGCAAAGCACAGTGCTTGGAGCATAATAAATGCTCGGTAAGTGTTTTCTCTTCTCTCTACCCTCTCTACACGGCTCCATTTCATTTTTCTTTCTCATTGAGATATTAAACTTCTAAGCACAGAGACTATGCTTTTATCCTTCTGAAGCCGGGCAGTAAGGGTAGTTATTTGAACGTCTGATATTAAATAAAGAGAAAAACCTTTCAAATCTCCTCCAATTTTTCTTGCAGTCATTTATGATTTGACAAACAGGATGAAAAACGATGGGGTGAATTCACAAGAGGTAAGAATGAAGAATAGAAAGAAAGGGGTTTTCTCAGCAAGCTGGGGTTCAGGGAAGCAGAGCTAGGAGAACACCCATACAGTTCAGAGCCAACAGCTGTTTCCTGGGCACCCACTGCAGGCCACACTGCCCAGCATTTGGGCACAGGGCCTCATTGGGATGCTGGGGAGCAGGGGATGGAGGAATGGAATGTGGGGACCTCAGAAGCACCTTCCTAATTGTGATCATTTGTCTTCCTGCAAGACACAGACCCTCATTTGGACTTGGCTGGGGACTGTGTGGGCAGGGGCGGTATGGGAGTGCGGGGAGGAAGCCAGCATGAAATTAATTCTCTGCCTCTCCCCTCTGGAATGTCAATAATGTGCTGAGGACAGTGGGCAGTGCAGTCGGCTGCCAGCCCCCTCCCATCCTGGGCTCAGAGCCTCTAGGCCCTCTTGTTTTGGAGCACGTGGATGGCCAGGCCTGTAGCACCCTGCCCTTTGTATATCACTCCCATTCTGAGGAACCTGGTTATCTTCCCTGCTTCCAACATCCACCAGGAGGAGGCCCGACACACCCCCTGCTAGGGTTTCCCTCACAACAACGGGCAGCGACCATCGGTGACAAAACCCAGCTGAGCCTGCTCCAGATGGCAACACTTTGACCAGTCAGGAGGGCTGGGAGCCCGGCCACCCTGCCCAAGGCTCACCAGAGTCTCACACTGGTGTGCCATCCTGCTGCAGTCTGACTCCCCTCACTGTCTCTGCAGCAGCCTCTGAACTGGCCAAGGCAGCTGGGACTTTATGTTATCGTGTACTGGAAAGCTCGGAAGTGGCATTAAAACGTTTCCCATTTAGATTTATCTTGCATTCACACGAGCTTATGTTTATACCGTCTAATGGTAGGACATGGGCCTTGGTGAGTTCCAGGCAAATGCTCTCATCTTATGGGTAGGGCCACCACAATGCATGGAGCTCAGGTGACTTACCTGAGATCCCATGGCCAGGTGGCTTGTGTAGCACCAGCAGTGCCTCCTAGACCAGAGCCTTTTCAGTGTCACCACAAGGCAGGCACACCCAGCTTCAGCTTCTGGGAAACTCTGCTTGCGTTAGTTGCCTGGGAGTAAAGCATGGGGTTGTCAAGTTCTAGCTTGGCAGACAAATGATTGTAGCTGCTTCCCCACTGGGGATGTTTCTGGAAATGAGCTAGGAAAGTCTATGACACGTGGGGCACTGCTCACCTGTGTGAAAGAAAGTGTCTAGTCCTCTGGTCCAGGAAGCTCTGTGCTGACAGGTCAGTGAGGGAGGTGATTGCAGAGAGGGAGAGAAGCTCCTGGGTTGGCAGGAACCACAGGACTTTGCAGGATGGGGATGACTAGGTGGGGACACAGAGAGCCCTTCTCATTCTCGTTAGCGTTTCTAACTGAGATGGTGAGGGCTCCTTCACATTTGCATATACTAAGTACCACAACATCTATGTATGTATATATATATACACACATATATCTGTCCATAGCATTTTTCTATTATAAAAATAATACATGCTTGCTGTAGATAACCTGGAAGATACAGAAAATAGGAGAGAAAAAGGAAACACTCATACTTTCAACACAGAGACAAACATTCTTAACCTCATAGGTACATTCCCATATTTTTCTCTATAATGTTTTACCCAGTTGAGACCATACTGAGTCTATCATTATAACAGAGATGTTATAATGATTCCCTCATAGGGTTGCTTCCGGAATTTAATGAGTTACTGTATATGACATGCTTACAATGGTGTATGCAGTAAGCACTCAACAATAACAACAACTAATAATGATAATAATAACTGCCAGGGTTTCCAAGACCCAGACCCCTTGTTCACGCTCTTGGCAGACGTGGGGAGGTAGGGCTGACCCTATGCTCAGATGGACTCCAAGCACACGCCCTCTCCTTGTACATTCAGCTGAACAAATTCTTATAATTTAATCATGACTTTTAATGTGTGGAATGGTGGCTTTTACATTTTCCTGAAGCACCATTGCAGGCTGCTCTGTGTTATACTCCCTGTTTATATTGCAATGCAAATTATTCCTAGCGGAGAGTTTACAAACTGCACTTCCATTATTAATAGGGTTATGATTTTCCCCATTCCACTCTTATCTCTATTGCTTGTGTAATACATAATTCATGCTCACTACCCTTCACTGGCCTCAGTGCCAGGGCACAGCGGTCTCTCTCTCTCTCTTTTCCTGATGACAGTAATTGGTATGCAGTGAGAGTAAAATAGCCATAATCCCTACCTCAGGCTCTCTCCAAATGTGTTCCCTGGAAGGACTCACATACAGGGGAAGTAGACGTGCCGGACATTCTACGGTCAAGGCTTGAGTTCCAGTGCCCTCTGAGCTCTGAATCCTAGGCAGACACATGTGGGGCTTCCTGGGGTCCTAGCATAGAACTGGCTGGTCAGAAGGAAACCTTGGGTGAGGCTGGGATGCCGGATGGCTGGGAGCACTGAGCTGGCTTCTTGCTAGGGGGCGTCTGAGTGTGTTTGTGGAAAAGGCAGATTCTCGATCCTCACCCCATACTCACTGAATGCCCTCTTTCTGCAGGATGGGTAATCCAACTCTTCACAAACCCACTGCGACATCTAAGGCCCTGTGCTAACCAATCTCATGGAAAATAGACACTGAAGCTGAGTCCCACCAGAAAACCCTAAGATGGGGCTGGACAGCCACCTCTTCCCTGAGGTCAGAGCAACCACCCATCTGATATCCAGGGTAACTGGCCTTGTAAACTGCTTTGCCAGGCCCTCCCAGCTTCAGGGATAATCACAGGACAATTGCCACCATCAGAGAGGAAATGAAGTGTTCTTGGATCTAAATTCCCCAACTGTCCTGAGACAGAGGGTCCCGCAGGGCCTGCACATTCTCTCAGGGACTATTGTTTTCTCTCACCTCACTGTCCTGGCACCCACCTTGTCACCCTCCTCGGTCAACCCAATGCCACAATTCTCAGTAGGCTCTCCCCCTGCACAAGCTTGCTTCCTTCACGGCCGGCAGCATCTCCAGCCTGGGAATAACTCATTCTCCTTTGTCAAGCCTGGGCCCAGCTCCCCTGGGGGAGGGTGGGAGGGTATAGGAAGACGTGCAGCGTCATCCACAAAGCTTTGCTTGCTGATGGCCCCAGGGGGAGAGGGGACAGGCCAGGTTCATAGGCTTATTCTTTTCCTACATGCCTGATCAGTACCCATGAGTTGGGGGCAGACTTTGTTCCCTTCCTGTAGGAGAGTCTTAATTCCCGTAGTTGGAGGAGGGGGGACAGGTGGTCTCCTGATTCCCCTTCCTCTTAAGTTCTCTTGTGCAGGACTCACTGGGCCAGCTTCCCTGGGTAGGGCCACAGAGAGCCCCTTGGAGACATTGCTGGGCTTTTGATGCCCAGGAGGCTGCCCTATTCCCTGAGACCAGAGCAGTCACCCATCTGAGAGAGCCCCAAAGGCCGTTTCTGGAGGCCCCGATTGGACCCTGTGAATCTGTTTCCTCATCACATCCCTGGCAATGACAAGCAGGCTCTGAGCCACACCCTCTACTCGCATGTCTGCTACCCCTCCTTTCTCTGCTCATCCCCCAAGCATGCTCACAATTACCTAGGCCACGTACACACACACACTTGAAGGTCCATACAGCCACACACACACGAACACAAGTACATAGGAACACATGTAGAATTAACCCAGATCCGGATGGACCTAGAGATTAACATACTAAGTGAAGTAAGTCAGACAGGGAAAGACAAATATCATATGATATCACTTATATGTGGAAGCTGAAAAAAATGATACAGATGAACCTATTTATGAAACAGAAATAGACTCACAGACATAGAAAACAAACTTATGATTACCAAAGGAAAAAGGGGGAGAGGATAAATTAGGAGTTTTGGATTAGCAGTTACACATGACTATATATAAAATAGATAAGCAACAAGGATTTACTGTATAGCACAGGAAACTATATTCAATATCTTGTAATAACCTGTAATGGAAAAGAACCTGAAAAGGAATATATATATATATATATATGAAACTAAATCACTTTGCTATATACCTGAAATTAACACAACATTGTAAATCAACTATACTTCAATTAAAAAAAAGTTACACAGATTCTCAGGAGTTGAGGCAAAAAGCATAGAGGGGTACATATACTCAGAAACCCACCTGGGAGCACATCCACACGTACACAGACACATCCACACACCCGTGCACAAAAATACAGAGGTACGTGTAAACAAACACATACATAGCAGGACACAGGCATAAACAAACACAAATGTAGGCTGTGCTCCCTTCCAGGAAACTCTGCTTCTTCCCCTACGCGCTGGGGTGCATGGAAAGCCACAGCCGACACACTCAGACCCACTCACCCCTCAAGGCCCCTGAGTTGCCCACTGAATCACGAAGTGTCTTCCTGTTTGAGTTTATTTTCTTCTGGCAAAAGGGAGCTGCTTATTTCCAAGAAGTGGAGCCAGGGGAGTTTGCTGAACCCGCGCTCTGGCTCTGGCACATTTTGTTGTCCTGTCCTCCCACGATGCTCTGTTTACACAGCTCCTGTTTCTCCGGGGCCCTAAGAAGCACCACCTCTGGGTGCCACTGCAGAATACAGTTACCATCTTTAAAGCTTCTATGTATTGGCCATTCGCGATGCCCCCTTGGTCATTGCCAAGGCTCTGGGTGTGACTTTTGCTACCCTCTTTTCTGAATGTCTTAATTCTTAGCTCTGGGAGCTGATAGCCTGCTTCAAGTCTCCTCTTTAAGGCAAGTCATATGAAAAGAGTCCCCTTTGGCCGTCTGGAGCAGTTTCTTTGTGCTAGGGATGCTCCTTTCCATGAATTAACCCCCTTGAGGACAGGATGATTCGCCTGTTTTGTCTGCCACTGTCTTCTTCACAGGGCCAGGCACACAGTAGGAGCTTACTGAATATTTGAAAGTGCTATTGTTTTTTCTCATTTTACAGATGGAGGAACTGAGGCTGGCTGTGGAGCCTACCCCAAACCCATAGTTAGAAGTTGAACATGGAATTGAGCCCAGGTCTCTGGCCCCGCAGTGCAGGCTCACAGCCACTGTTCTGTAATGTCAGGAGAGTTTGGACTGGCTGGTCTGAGGAGCCCTTAATCTTGGGAACCAATCTTGTAACTTGTGATTTATGCCACAGTCCCTTTAGGGTTAATGGAGAGCCTGACACATGGCAGCTGAACCCCATAATCTGGGTTACTGGGTCACTCTTCTGGCTGGTTCCACTGGCTTTTGGGGTTTCCCTATTGTCTGGCCAAGTCTGGCTTATTCTCCACCCAGAGAAGCCTGGGATCACAGGCTAGAGTTTCTCAGAGTGGCAAAAATGTACCTGAACCAAGCCCAGTTGAGGGTCTACACTGGGCCCACTAGGAAGGTCTTATCCGTAGGAACTCATTGGTTGTGGCTGTGCGATGGTGGAGATTGAATCATTGGTTGACTAATTCATTCATTCAACACGTATTTACCATGTCATGGGTCTCGTGTTAGATCCTGAGGAGATGGAGTTGAAATAGATGTAGTCATTTTCTTCAAGGGGCTTAGAGTCTAGTGGACAGGACACGCATGGGACCGCGTAAACCCTGGGCCACGGAATGAATGCAATAAGGAGCCTGGGGTACGTTAAAGAGAAAACATTTTCCATCTAACCTCAAATTCTCAAACTTCAGTGAGCAATAGAATCATCTTAAAATATAGATTCAGGGGACCCAGATCTTCTACCTTGGAAAGTCTGGGAAGGGGGTCCAAGAACCTACATAATTATTCATTTCCCCACACAATTCTGGGACAAATGGTCTGAGGTGGAAGGACAACACATTGAGAAAATCTGTACCAAGAAGTCAGAGAAAATGTCAAGGGGACAACACTGTACTTTAAAGAATGGATAAGGGTTTGTCAACAAGCAAGAGGAGAAAAGATCTTACAGTGTTGTAAAGTAATTTTTAAAATGTTTGTTGTAAAAATAATCAGATGATGAAGAAATAAATGAAGTAAAAAATAAAAAAGACTCACCCAGGGTAACCATTGTCCTTAGTTCAGTATGTATCTTTTGAGACATTTTTCTATTAACATCAAATATATGAGTATAACCCCCATTTATATGTCTTTATAGCTACATCTGTTACTCTGTCTCTGAATTTACAAATATGGCTTGGGAGGCACCACCATCGCTTTGGCCTCCACTGATGCTGGGACTGATGCTGGTACCCTCAAGATGCTGTAGCACACAGCACATTCCTCTCTTTTTGTTCTCCTTGTGTTTAAAGGATCCTCCCTCCTAGGTCCTCCCTACCTTCTGTGGCTTTAAAGAAAAATTGATACAGCTCTATTTTATTTAGTTTATTGTATAAATAAGTTTTATTGAAGTATAATATGTATGTGTACATATCCTAAGTGTATAGCTGCTGAAATTTCTCAAACTGACCACACTCATGTGACCAGTTCCCAATCAAGGCAGAGAATGTGAGCAGTGACCCATCCATTCCCATTCATTATGGCCCATCTCATCCCAGGACTCAGGAGAATTTGGGGCAGGACTAGGGATGGATTTGAGGTCTAGACACCAGACTGTACTCTGCTCTAGCCCAACCCTATCCTCCTTTGTTATGGCTTCTCTCCCAAGATGTTCACCCTGAAC